TATATAAGTCAAAAATGGCATTTAAAATCTCCTTTTTATCTCTGAGTAAACTTGTAGAGCAGGTACGAATTCCTATAGATGGTATAATTTTAAAAGCTGAAAAAATTCTGTATTAAGTTTTACTTAAAAAAATAAAAATTTCGTTAAAATTAATCTAACCATTTTTAGACATGATCGGCAAAATTAATCACGTGCCGTTGATTTTTTGGTGGTTACGCTGGGGATACCCCCAGTACAGAATAAATTTACCCTACTGGGGGAACGCCTGTCAATCACGTGATATACAACCTTAAACAATTTAATTGATGTTGGGATTACTTTCATATAGTTCGATAGATTTTAAACCAAGAAAAAAAAAATGTCATCACAAACTTCTACCTCTAACAAGGTAAAATACTCTTGTTCTAAACTTAAAGCTATTTTACAAATTTTAAATAAAAGTTTTGACCTTACTCATTTTTAGCTGGACGACAAACGTTTGTATATTGGAAATTTAGATTCTTCTATCGATGAGTAAGTATTTTTAGATTCGAAATCACGATTTAGTAATTATCAAAATGCTTATTGATCTCTTTCATCTTGTAGATATACTGTTGTAAAGTTATTTGAACCTTTTGGAAAAATAACTCATCTTGACTATCTCTTTCATAAGAGTGGACCAAAACGCGGTCAGCCAAGGGGTTATTGCTTCTTGGAATATAGTAAAAAAGAGGTATGTTATTTTGCTTTTTCTCATATTACTATTTCCTTTTTTTAAGTATTAATTGCGTTTTTTTGAAATCACTAAAATTATGTGTTCTTAAATATCGAATGGCACCTAGGAAGCCTTGAGAGCCATGACAGCTATGCATTCAAAATTGATCAAGAATCGATCCATGATAGTGACTTTTGCATATGCAGTAATTATATATTTTATATGAAGTCATAAACTTTGTCTTTCCTAGTTATTATTTTTAACAAAGTTATGATATTAGGCACCTGAGAATTACGACAGCAGGCAATTCAAAAAAAGACCTTCATCAGTTACTAATAGACCAACGACGATTTCTTTGTTAAAAGCACATAAAATGGTTAATGCTAGGTAAGTTTATATTAAATAATTGATAATAACCACATTCTGTTATTAAGTTTCTTTGCATTTTATTTTATTTCAATAGTACGGATTCAAAGATACAAGCTTTGGAAAGAAAATTGGCCCAAATGAAACAAAAAGAAACTTCATCAGATTCTCCTTCAATAAAATCTTCTTCACAACCTTCATCCCCACGACCATCTACTTCGTTACCAACAGAAAGATTGAAAATAGAGAGAAATTCATCTGCGCCTACATCGCCGTCAACTTTGGGCGGAAGGAGGAGATTTACCCCTTATAATTTTCCGAAGAGTGAAAAATAGGTTATTTATATATGTATATATAAATATCTTGTAACTATTTTCTTCTTTTTTTTCCTTTAAATAATATATAGAAATACCAAGGGAATAACAATTCTTTCTCGGCGGTCAATTTCATTTAATAATTCCATGCTTTCCCCGACGGTAAGATGTTTAATAAGCGTACTCTGTATTAGCAATGAAATTTTCTAATACATCGCTAGTTATGAATGATTATTATTATAATAAAATAGCGACGCTTATCGCAAGAATATATACCAAAACTAGAATTAGCATTGAAAAGATTTAATCCCCAATTTTTAGTAAAAAAAAAAAAAAAGTTTTCATAGATATATTTAATACCATTGTAATCATTCATCTTATCTTCGATCATCTTATGTATTGTATGTACATGATCTTTTTTTGATTCTCTGGCAAATTTCAAAAAAAAAAATATTTAATTAGCCTTTGTTTACATGTCAACATTTAGAAGTTTTTCATTTTAACCTTTTTTTGTGCTATTTTTGTAAGTCAATGTTTTCGTTTTGTAACCAACTTGTTTAAATCGAAAACAATTGAACTTTTTATTTTACGTCAAGTATTTCGTTCTGATGTAGCACTGCATAAGAAAACAAGTTGATTATCGTAATATACGCGTCAATTCGTCAAATCAGGATTACATAATAAAGCACTCGAGTTGTTTTGTAATTATATATATATACAGATATAGTTATATTCTATAAATTTTTCCTCGTACTTAACCAAAAGTGAAAAAAAAAAAAAAAAAAAAAAATTATCACAGTGTTAACATGTCAGAGATTCTAAATAGTTCGCTCGAATATTATGTCGCCGAAGAAGGTGCAGTGCCTTTGCTTCCTTTCACTACACACGTGTCATTACAGCAAATTATAGATACTTTTCCATGGAATACCATAATTTTACCACCAGAAACTAGTTTACAAGAGGATACAGCTCAACTAATACAACCAATACCAATACTTTCTCAACCACAAGAAACCTCAAGTCCAAAGCCGCAACACACGCAAATAAGTGAGTCCGTAGATTGTGATAACAAGGAGAACGTCACGGGACAAGAAAAGATTAGAATAATGGAGTTTACTTGCACATATTGCAATAAATTATATCGAGGGAAAAATGCAAGGTCCATATTACGACGACATCTCAAAACAAAACATAATATTAATCCTCCCCGAGGTACAAGGTGGGATAATGATCCTAATAGGCCGAAAACTGATGAAGAAAGACGATTGAGAGTATTAGAATCAAAGAAAAGGTAAGATTAACTCGAAAAAAAAAAAAAAAAAAAAAAAAAATTACTAAATTCGCGCGTATCTCGGAGAAATTATTGCGCGTCTCTTATATGATCAGTAAATTAGAGGAGATAATCAATTCACAATTTAAAGTGTAAGACCATATTGATTATTCATTTTATATATATATATATATGAATCGTGATTGTAAAAAAAAAATAGGTGGGCTCAAAAATCACGAACAAAGAAAAGCCTTGAGAGATCATCATCAACCTATTTAAAACAGGGAAGATTTAGTGACAATTCATCAAATCTGGGAAATCATCAAATCGACACAAATTTACCTTTTCCTGGTTTTGTAAAGCAAGAAGATATTGACGTGATTCCGTATCAAGACATCAATTCAAACTTTGGAGGATCGCAACAAGTGGAAGATGATACGGATGTAATTTGTTCAGATTTTATAAAACAAGAATGTATTGATAATTATGACGTTCCAAATCAAGTTAATGTTGTTGAAGAAATTCCAAATCAAGCCGTAAATCTTGAGGAAATGAATTTACTCTATGATGCTGGTTCCATCAAATCAACTTTGCTATGGTTGGGAGTCACTGCCAAGTCGGATGCTTGCTGTATGGATTATTCTGATGAGAGAAATTTTAACAATCAAGAACAAAATAATTTTTTAATAAAGGAAGAATTTGAATGAACTTTTCATACATTTCTATGATAATAATAATAATAAAAAAAAAAATCATTTGCTGTAGTAATGTTTAAAAATTTTTATTATTATTTTATTTTATTTTATTTTTGAAATTAAAATCATGTTTAGAAAAAAACAGTTATCTCATTTATATTTTATTTACTATACTACTTTTGACCAGATTTAAGGTTAAACACAAAAAGCATGTGAAACTTATGAATCTGTGTCACACAGATCAACAGTATATTAATTCGCTTTCCTAAAAGTCTATAAGGGGTTTTTTTTCTTTTCTTTTTATTTAATTTAATTTATTTTTTTAAAAATTTTTTTTTGTCGTCATGGAGCCACCAATCGTTTACTATCCTCGTTCCGAGTATATAGAAACGGTACATCATTTTGTAAAGTGGTTTGAATTACCATTTTTTGATTTTTCACCGACACGACGCATTTTATTATTTTAGGATACGGGTAACAAAGTTAGCCGTAAGTCTGTGATTTGTGGAAGCCAAAATATTATATTGGGTGGAAAAGTAAGTCATGAAATTCTTAATTTTTAATCTTTGATTCTTTTTTTTTTGATTGATTCGTTTTTCCCCCTTTAGACTATTATTCAAACTGATTGTGTTATTAGAGGAGATTTAAGACGTACTGGAGGTGGTCATGCCGTAGTAGTGGCTATTGGTAGATATTGTCTTCTAGCAAAAGGAAGCATTATTCGACCTCCGTACAAAACATACAAAGGGTATTTTTTTTTGGATTTAAAAGAAATAACTTTTTGCCTACGAAGATTAATCTTTTTTTTTTTAAAAAAAAAATAAAAAAATTACGCAGGACATTTAGTTATTATCCTATGAAAATAGGAGATCACGTATCCATTGGAGAAGGGAGTATTGTTGAAGCAGCGACAATAGGTTCATTCGTGCATATTGGCAAGAATTGTGTTATTGGTAGATTTGCGATTATAAAAGATTGTTGTAAAATTGAGGATAACACAGTAATACCACCAAATACCGTTGTACCTTCTTTCTCAATCTACGAAGGATCACCTGGTATTTAAAATAAATTTATTTTATTTTATTTTTTTCTTTTAAAAAAAGATGTTTTGAAATTTTATGCTAATAGTAGCCTTTCGTTTCTTTATTTAGGAGTATTTGTTGATGAATTGCCGGAATGTGTTCAGGATCTTTACGAACTAAAGACAAAGGATTTCTATATCAAATTTCAACCAAAAGACAGTTGAAACGATAATAGAAGCCATTCGAATTCAAATATACCAAATGAACGTACTGAACAACATTCAACAAATGAAATTCCCTTTTTACTTAATTTTCTATTAATGTTTGTTGTAATAATACAAGCTCTATTAATTCGTAAATTATTCTTTGATACGCCTCCACATGATGCAAAGATATCATCAGTATCGTCATCTACAACTACAACAACTACAACAACCGAAGTTGCATCCTCTTCCAGAACTCCAAGAAGAACAATTAATGAAATTAATGACAAAGCTCTAATAACATTGCCGCCTTGATAATTGTTACCTTTTTCTTTGGCTGTATTTTTTTTTTATTTCATCCATATATATTCTTTTGCATTTTTTTCTTTTACATTAATAAACATTCACAGCAGATTCTATCTTTATGTTTAAAAGACTCATAATTATAGATAATATCAATACTAAATATTTAGGGTCAAAAGTCAATATAATTAAGAAGTATAGTAACAATAATGATAAAATTGATGATTTTTATAGCGTGATGATTCCATTGATCACAACAAACTAATTAAAAATTCATAGACCATTTTACCAAATTCTTTATGGATATTTTTACCGCTGGCACCTATAATTAATTCTGGTTTAGCATCTACTAAAGCAGCTTCAACTCTAACCGTTAATTTATCTTGAGATGGATATCCATTATCAATTGTAATTTTACTATAAATCATGAAAGAGGAAATAAAAATATTTGAACATCTAATTTCATATATAAAAAAAAAAAATTCAAAAAAGCATAATAATACATACACTGGACGTCTCCAATATTCGGGTATCCATTTATCAGTTTTATTTTCTTCATTAAGATCTGGTAATTCATCTTTTAATAAATCATCAAGATTATAAGACGTTTTCATCTTAATAAAAGCTGATTGGGGAATCGCTGGAGGTATATCTTTGTATATCATCAATGCTGGTGAATCTAAATACCATTTACCGGCATTTGTTACAAGATCTTTAAGTCCTGTTAAAGTATTCAATTTTTCAAGAATGATTTTTAATAAAAGTAATTTGATTTCCCTAACAAATAAATCTTGAAATTGCGTCAAATCTCCAGTCTTAATATCAACGTGTGGTAAATGAAGAGTCAATGATCCGGGCGATTCCAATGTGAATCGAATACTGTGCCTATAAATCATTTGAATTAATAAACAATTGAGATAAAATATATTTAAACCAATAATTTCTATGAATTGAATTTACCTGTAATCAATGATTACAATAACTGATCCCGTGAATAATGAAAGTTTATCATTACCAATCTTTTTCCACACTTCTTCTATTAAATCTTTGCCTTTAGAAAGGTTGGATATAAAATGAATTTGAACTGGCACACCACCACCTCTTAAGGCTCTAATAGTCGAATTCAAAATTTCGCGTAAATGAATACAAAAGAAATGATATTTAAGTAGATGGAGAGGTTGGGTAAGGATTTGAACGTGTCCACTATTTACGAATTGATGAATTTGACATCATTAATAAAACATGTAAAATGTTATGAGTATAATAATAATTGTAATAAGATATTTTTTACCTATCTCTATATATTCCTCTATTTCCTTGTATTACACGTTCTTGTTGCCTAATAGAATATCGTCGATGGGATCTCCTGACTAAAAGATCCATAGCTAATTTTAACACAGTGCACGTAGGGGATCTTGGTGAGATTGTCATATCGAAATTATCTGTTTGAAGACCAGATGTCCAATCATCATCCGTGGACCGAGCCTCCTCTTGTATTGTGTCAATATTGACCTAGTAAAAATCATGAAAATATTACGAATGATCATACAATTAAAAAAACCAAAATTAAATGTGAGACTTACCCATTGAATTGTCAAATCTACACCAGGATAAACTTGAAGATGAATTTCATTCTCAAGAAGTATTACATTGGTCATTACGCGCGCTTCCTTAACTAACTAAGCAATTGAGCAAATCAAGAACATTAAAGTGAATTCATTGTATTCTTTATCTCAAAACATTATGTCGCTGTTCCCAATGCTTTAAAGGTAAAAGTGAGCAGAGGAAAAAAAAAAAAATAGCAAGAAATAAAATAAAACTGGATCGCTTATGTTTCGATATCGAGTTAACATACTTGATCAAACAATCCTTCTTCAAAGACAGCTTTTTGTGCAGTTACAAGTTGTTGATGAATGTTTGTACCTTCGATGAAATCAAAATGAAGTACTAAAACAATTCTTAGTAAGTATGAATATTTTCACACAGTTTTGTAACTATAAAAATAAAAATAATTCGTACATGAATTTTCTTGTACGTGTGGTTTGTCACCACCTGGAGCCCTAAAACTTTTATGTAAGCGCAATTTAACTGATCTTTTAGCTTTTTGAGGCAGTGAAATTGCAATTTGCTTTTCGTCTGGTGACCTTAAAATTTGTGCTGTTTGAGTATTTTCTGCGTGACGAGATGCAGCTGAAATAGACATATCGAATGAGCTATTTAAGATTAATTACGACATAAAAATCGATCTGATGTAATATATAACATACCTACCCATCTGATACCCATAATTAACAAAAATCTGAAGGCCTGTATTTTTTTCTTTACTGCCACGACACAAAGTCCAATGATGTTCACGTAAAGATACTGCTTCATTCCAGAATGTTTTTTCTTTATCAACAATGTTGTTTAGTTTAGCAGCCGCTGTTGATATAATTCCAGCTGCATGTTTGAGTTGCTATTTAAAAAAAATTTATGATCAAATAATGAAAAATTGAATTGAGCGAAAATGAAATGAAAAGAAACTATCAAATACCCTGCGTTTCATTCCCAACATCAATTTGACATTCTGAATTTGTGTCGCTTTACTTGGTTGGGAATAGGCATGATAAGTATTTTGTATCATACCAGACGGGATTGGTAATGGATTTGTCGGCACGAAGTTTGCTCGGGTATCGGATAAAATTAAATTCAATACATCAATTCCTATGCCAATGTCATTTGAGGATGTTCTGTTAAAATAGGATAGGATTTAAGTCCATATTAATACCCGCTGTTTGTAATTCAAATAAAATCTATAAGTTTATACAATAAAAAAAATATTCACGCAACAGCAGCCCCAATTGAATTCTTCATGACAGCGAGATTAGCAGCTTTCTTATCATCCGATTTTAACACTTTCTTTTCCGAACTTTCACCCTTTTCCAATGATTCAATGGTCAAAGTACGAAAGTCTCGTTCCTCCCACAATTTTTTTACTTGTTTTGCAAGTCTTTCAGTCGGTGTCTGTTTCCTAGCAATGCAGCAATAATTTTGTGATAAGTAATTGAGAATGAAAAGAGATACTGTTGATCTTCGAAAATGATAACACATACGGTTGATTTTCTGTTCCAGGTTCAATCAAAATCTTGCCTATTTTCCTATCCATTTTGGTCTCAGAAAAGAAAATTTGACAGATAATTTATCGTCACTTAACTATCGGCTCGGAAAATTTTTTGACTGGAGAACAAGTGGACTTCACATTTCTTAGCAAATCAGGTACACGATAGCATATATATATATACATGTATCATATATCATTTTGATTGGTGTCCAAATCTTGCAGCATTTATTAAGATATAATTATGAATCGTAAGTACAATAATCGCAACCAAAAAAATAATGCTGGAGGTAACCGGGAACAGAAAGGACATGATAGAAGTAAGAATTGTAATGATGTTCTAAATAGTAAATTATTATTTTTAGTAATAATTTTATATCAGGAAAAACGAATTATATCTTAGTTGACTGAAACTTTTATTCTTTTAGGAGAAAAAAAGTGGAAAAGCAATGAGACGCGTAGTTCTAGTATTATAATGGACTCTTCAATTGCTTCAGATCCAGATGAAGCTGCAAGACGCGCAAGTCGCGCTCAACGTTTTAGTGAATTCTTAGAACCTCAGCAATTGGTACGAACAGAATTTTATTGTACAATTCTTTAGAATCATTGTTGATTAATTATAATTATTCAGGTTGGGACAAAAGTTGATGCAAAAATTGGTGGCGATGTTAAAAGACCTTCGGTTTGGAGTGGAGTAAATTCTATCACCTCTTCAAAAAAGTTCGATGAAGATCCATCTTATACAATGGAAGATGTTGAATGGTTTTTGGGAGCATTATGGTACGCTTGGAAAGTATCAAAGCTTATTTCAAATTCTCCCGCAATTCCTGGGCGAAGGAAACGAGCTCAAGATTTTTTTATCGATAGTTCTCCTCCGGTTTGTTTATTTGATTTAAGGTGTGGTAAACATTTGGAATCTGTAGACGATAAACTAGATTCAGTAGACGAAGAAATAGACAATCAGCTAAGTTCGTTGATTGATGAGATGAGTTTGAGTGCTAAGACTGATTAACTTTGGGAATCGCTTTAAGGATATATTTTATTTATGAAACGAAGGAATGTATAATAATAGGTCAATTCGGAGGATACATCTGTAACAATTTTTTTTTCTTTTTGTTTATTTCAAATCTTGTAATTATTAGATAATGGCAATTGGTTTTTTTTTTTTTCCACATGTAATTGTTAAACGTATTGAATAAAAATTTTGGTCAGGTTATTTTTGGGTGAAAGAATTATTTGATTTAACCCGTCAAAAGGTTTTATTCACCAATAATTTTCGATGCCGCTTTTCTTAACCTATTCATAATGGCTAAACCTTCTTCTTTCTCAGGGATCCCCTCGACAATTATGCAATCTACGTTACGTTCATCCAAATATCTCAAACCCTTAAATAACTCTTTTGCAATTTGTTCGGGATGCGTTGAATCACCCAAAGTGTATTCTATGATTTTAATTGTTCCTCGTGAATTTGATTTCACATTCGAAAACAGATGATCATCGCTAGATATTATTTTCCCATTCTTTTTTCCATTCTCTTCATTTGAGGTAACGTAGGATGTTCTTGTGGCTAGAATGCCAATAGCTCTTTCGCCATTTTCTCCCATTTGTCTTATTTCTCTTTTCATTATATCATGGGATTTATGCTTATCGCAGACGTCCACTAAAATCACTTGAGCATTAGGAGAATAATGTCGATATTTCATTCCTGGTGTTGTCGGAACCATTTCAAGTTTTTTATCAACGAAATCCTTATTATAAATTCTAATGTTTTCCATTCCGGGCATCCTTCTCAATGATTCAAAAGTTAATCCACCAGGTCGTAATATAACCGGTGCTTGAGACCCTATTGCATCAAAAACAGTAGATTCAACTCCGTGGTTACATTGTCCTCCATCAATAATCAATGATATCTTACCATTAAGATCCATTAATACATGAGATGCTAAAGTAGGTGATGGTCTTCCTGAAGCATTCGCTGAAGGCGCTGCTAAGGGGAATCCACATAATGATATTAAAGCTCTCGTGATTGGATGTGAAGGAAATCTCATTGCTACCGTTGATTGACCACAAGTTACTTCTGAAGGTATTAGTAAAGATTTGGGTAATAAAATAGTTAAAGGACCTGGCCAAAAGTTTTTAATAATTTGTTCATATATTAATGGAATTTCACCAATATTACTATTTTCTTTTGGTGGCAGTAAAGATCTTAACATTTTTAATGAAGAAACATGTACAATTAATGGATTATCTGAAGGTCTATCTTTTACCGAATAAATTTTTTTTATTGCAATTGGAGATAAAGCATTTGAGGCTAAACCGTAAACTGTTTCGGTTGGTACGGCTATTACTTGATCTTCAGTGAGCAATTTAGCTGCCTCTTTAAGAATTGATAAAGTAACTGGATCCGTAACATGAACTTGTGGATCTTCAATATCGTCTGAAGAAAATTGTATCGTTGACGGATCTATGGTTTTAACTCGTGTGATCATCGAAGATAGGCAATTACCTGGAACCGGGAAGTGTGAGAAAGAACGGAAACGGAAACGAAAGTAACGAGATAAAAACATGAAAAAAAAATTATTTAGATGGATTTGTCGATCACATAATTTAGCTGACCAATCGCACCCTAGACTTGTTCCAAAGTTGGTTTTGTAAAAAAATTTATTACTTTTTGATTAAAAACACTCATGGTTTAATCTTACACAGAAAACGTATTTAGAGATGTCAAATCATTCTGATGAATTCTTCTTGCCTCCTTCCATTAGACAAATAGTTAAAGAACACTTATCAAAGATTAGAAATCCAGGTCATCCCTCTAATAATAAAAGAAAACCACAATTTAGGCTCAGATTTGATTCAAATATACTTAGAGTTATTTATCAAAGAGCTGCAAAAGAAGCAGCACGACGTGCTCGAGAAATGTTTAATATTACAGTTACAGAGGTACAAAGTTCTCAAGTGAGAAATAAATGCACATATACCGAATCATATGTGGATAGCGATGAAGAGGACGAGAGAATCGTCCAGCTCTTGAGAAAGATTAAGAAAAAATATAAGAATGTCAAAAGCAATTCCTCGCCAAAGGAACAACTTATCGCTTCGACTGGTGATGACGTAGATATCGAAATTACTGCGCCAATAATAGATCTTACTGTCGATCACCCAGAAATCCGACCAGCCAAAAGAGGTAGCAACTCTTCGAAGGCTTCTTCTGGTAGTAAAGCGATGCATTTTGAATCAAATAAAACGCGGGAAGGAAATGTAGAAAAATTAAAGAAAGGTAATGGTCAATAAGTTGTTCTTGTTAAGTCAGCAAACAATCATAAAATTGTATTTAACAAATTCTCTTAGGAGAGAAACGAAAGCTTAATGTCATTTTAGAAGAAAATAAAGAGAGGTCTACTGAACTAGCTCCTTCTTTAGGTGATTATATTAATTATAATTTATGCGTTTCTTAACGTCTTAATTAAAATTCAAGTCTTTCATAGGGATGTTTACTGGGATTTCATTGGCACCCAAGGAAATTTTATTTAATTCGTATGGAAGGACAGCTGATAAATCTAATAATCACAGAATCATTGTTGGAGAAGATGATGCTATTTCGTTCGAGTCAACCGTTCAACCACAAGAGCATCTTAAAGCAGGCGAGTAAGTTGTTTCGATTGTATATTCAATATAATTCTAAATTTTAACCTTTTTTTAACTAATTAACAAACATTATGGCCTAACGTGCAAAGATATGTCATTGCTATTTATAATAAATATTCGAACACGGTGACTTTCCAGGGGGTAAACGAAGTAGATATAGTTCCTGTTCCGAAACGTTTGAAATCCGAACAGCGAGAAGAACCAAAACCGATTCAAGACGTAACAAGATTAAATTTGTAACCACTTTCGCGTCTTTTTTTTTTATTTAATAATTTCGCTTATTTACATACATTTTAAATAGTACGTTACAGCAAAGACGGCTCTTGATAAAGAGTTCGGTTCAAAGAAAGTTCGATCAAAAATTTCCGCGCGAGAAAGAGGACAGATCGATATATCGCAAGTTCGTGATCTTGATAAAATTGCGGCAGGAGTTGAAGAAAAGGCCAAGAGCAAGCCTGCCAATGGTGATTTTTAATTTGCCTTTATAGTTTAATATTCAATATTTTTTAATCGTTTCTTGTTTTGCTTGTTAACAGAGGAACATAAGAAGGAAGATAGTATTATTCCTCCATTTGACGAAACCACGACAGACCCGTCAAAGATCTATAATTGGGAGGACATCATTACTCCAGCGGAACTAGCCGCAATTGACATTCATGCCTTACTTTTAGCGAAGACCGAAACAGATAGAATAGCACTTTTACCATATCCGTATGTGATATTAATTGTACAGATAATTATAATTAATCTAATCTCGAGCTAATCTTTCTCTTTTTTTTTTTTTTTAATAGAGAATCAAATTACGTCAAATCGCGTCTCTTACCTTCATTGACGGCCAAAAAAGTAAATCATAAGCGTATTAGGATACTCATGTACATCAACTATCTGATGGCGTTCAGGTCACACGCTTTCGACAATGTACAAAACCGTCAACGGATGGCAGAAAAGCTGAGAAGTCCTCCAAATATCATTTTGGATAAACTATATGAACGTTTCGTCTATCGTGCTTTTAAGAAGATCGGAGGAAATCAAAGGTAGTTAATTCGATAAATTTGTTTTTCAATTCTGATATATATATTTATTTAATAATTTTTCGTTAGTTTAAAATTCACCGAGAGAAATGAACAGAAATTGATCTGTTATATGTTGGTTCTGTGTTTGATACTCGACAAGTATCATGTGGATCCTGTTCCGATAAGCGAAGATTTGCGTACTACAACAATTAAGTTGGTGTTTAATTTCATTTACTAGAAATTTTACGATTTATATAAACGTTATTAATTTCATTTCTTTTTTGTTAGACTTAACAATTTGTTCAAGTGTATTGGTTGTACGATCCAGAACTTGAGTAAGAAAGAAATAAATGAACTCGGAAAAAATGTTCAACCTAAACGTGCTGTATTGAACGCGCCTCTCAAGTTTCCTCAACCCAAAAAAAGATCGGGTAAAACTCGCTGAAAAATACACTCGAAATTTCTAAATTTTGATTCATTTTTATTTTTTTATTTTTATTTTTAACCATCCTTTGCTCGAAGTGGAAAATGATTATTATTTATATCCACTATTCTTTTAAATAGAATTAGATTTTTAGTTTAATGCCATAGTGAATAATTTCTTCACTAAAAAAACCTTTAAAGTAGCAGTAATAATATTATTATATAAAAATTAATATAAGAATACCAATAATAAAAATATATATATATATATATTTTTTAAATATCTGAAAATATATAAAAAATCTTTTTAAGAAAAAAAAAAAAAATACTATAATGTCGGAAAATCGCTTTTTATTAACACTTGTACAGACATTACTTCCAGTTTGATTAATTCATCTTTTTTTTTTGAATTTAAGATTTCTTTATTATTATTATTATTATTTATCGCCATATCAAATTTTCATAGGTGTTGGTGCGTTACCACTATTTTTTGTGATTTCTAATCTATATCATCAGACAATAAGGGAACGAATTAATAAAGATTTTTTTTTTTAAAAAAAAAAAACGCGAAGAATAAAAAAGCATTGAATTTAATTTACTGAACCTAAGTTGTTTGGAAAAATCATCTTCAACATCTTCGTCATCCCAATTGTCTTCCCATAAATGAGTTTCTTGATCTTCTTCTGTTTCATTCCAATCTAATGTATCAAGCGCAAAATTAAATGAAAGGGACCAAATTTGAATTAATGTCAATGGATTCTTTAAAATTTCACAACCCATTTCTTACACTTCAAATTACGCAATCCTCAAACTAAAGTGTCATCGACGCACGCTAAAATAAATCTAAAGAACTCTAATTTACCCATTTCTCAACTTCTAACCAAAAATGGACATGTAACGTCTCCAAAATTACAGGCTCATTACACGTATATTATTTAACGATAGTCTATCATAATTAAATAAACTGCATACCTTCGGAAGCAAATTCTTCAAATTCGTCGTCTTCTTCTAAAGCACCAAGTTGCGGTATCGTTTCTTTTTGCGCCGGAGTTTGTTGCTGTTGTTGTTTATCACCACCAGCATTATCGGCTTGCTGTGGTGTTTTTGAAGAAGAGCTTGGTTGATTTGAAGACATTATGGATATTCTGGAAAAAGAAAAAATTTGTGAAAAAAAAATTTTTTACGTAAGAAAAGCTTGCGTAATATATGTTTCTCACGTGATCAGTAATATTAAAACGTGACGCGTATGACACGAGAGACGAAAAAGTTGATTCAATATCAGACCTCCATATAGTCACACAAATAATATAGTCACTCCTCTTTATAATCATATTTCGTTAGTCTTTATAAGTCACATCTAAAGTAGTCACTGAATTTGGTGGAATTACGTGTAATTTTAAATGCTGTTTTTGATAAATTACCAAACGGTGACGCAGGATCACATTTGCAAAATGTATATAAACAAGTATTGTTTTCAAAGCATTTAATGTATTTTTTTTAAAAAAAAATGTGGTTTCAAAAAACCTTATATTTAAAATCCAAATCGCGTGGATGTCATCTAATCACCAAGGAAATTGAGAAGCAAATTCCCGACATTCAAAATTTTAGGATAGGAATGGCCAATATTTTTAGTAAGCCTTTCTTTTTTTTTTTTTTTTTTTATCTCATATAATCTGAAACTCCAAGAATAATTTTTGTTCCTTTAAACGCAAAGTTACACATACATCCGCTTCGCTTTGTTTAAACGAGAATGTTGATCCAGATGTAAGGACAGACATGGAGATGGCGTTAAACAAAATTGTCCCTGAAAATTTCCCATACATTCATACCGCCGAAGGATCTGACGATATGGTAAAATTTTATCGATCATCGTCTCTGTGTGTGTGACCAAATTTGTTGATTGTTTAATTATTTTTATTTTTATTTTGTTCCTTGGCTTTTTCTTTTTTGATCAAATTACAAGCCTGCACACATTAAAAGTGCTTTGTTTGGTGCTTCTTTGAACATACCCATTACAAATGGTAAATTAAATCTTGGTACTTGGCAAGGGTAGACATTTTTTCTTTTTTCTTTTTTTTTTTTTTTTTGATGTTCTCTATATCATTCTTTAATCATCCCCTTTACCATATTTTTCTCTTAAGCATTTGGCTATGCGAACATAGAAATTACGCATCTGGAAGAACAGTAGTCGTAACCCTAAATGGCGAAAAATAGGTTACAGATAGAAAAATTCCGTAACTGGGATAATATTTTAAAAAGAAATAAATTTTTTTGAATTGTGGAATAAAATTTAAATGAAAATAAAATGATTTTGCATTTATTTCAAAAAGAACAACTCGCTACTAATTAATTAGATAACATAATTTGTGGTCAATAGTTAAAACGAATTTGTTCATTTAATTGAAAAAGATTTTAATATGTTGATTAGATGTTAAGAAATATGTAAGCGATTTTTTAAATAATTCTTGTCCGACCTTGGATTAGGATTTCTATCAAGGAAAGGGAAAGCAACAATTTTTCTCAAGTTTTCAGAAGGTTAGCCTCATGTTACACGGTAAACAGATCAGCTGTTACGTTCAAAAGAGATGGTACCCTTGATTTGATCATCCCGAAACCCTCATAAGGGTCCAAGGTATATCTTATACTTATTGATACTTATTGGGAAGAATAGTTAGAGTTTGTACCATTTCTAAATTCTATTCTCATTGAGATTTATAGGGATCGGTACTTATTAATACGATCCCACGAAATGCGCAGAAGCCATGCAAAATTTTAATGAAGCAGTGGTTACATAAATAGTATCTTGTTGTTTGTATGCTAAATATAAAATATAATGCTTTCACCTTTTTATAGGTACTTAACACCTAATCTACAATTTTTTTTTTTTCTTCTGAAAAATAAAATGCAAAGTTTTTTTTTTTTTTTTCATGTAGAATGCACGTACATTGTACGTCGAAGATTTTTTTTTTTTTCATTTAATTGGTTTTATAATCCTATTTAATACTATGCCAAACCATCTTGGCATAAGTTTTTTCACCCTTTCAAAATCCAGCTCAATCATAGAATCATCGACATCAGAATAATATAAATTATGTGTACTTTGACACATTAAATGTCTAGTCACCTCGGTGTAATTATAAGATTTTCTGCCGGAACCCCAACATAATTTACACTTGAATAATCGAGCGTATTCATTGCATTGCGTCAAAAGCGAAATGCATCCTTCGATTGTTGAAAAAGGTCCATAACGCCTATGTCGTTTGTTCCTTATATATTCACGAGCTTCATTCCTTATTTGTCGAACCACATCGTCCATGTCAGTTATCACCTCTGGAGGTTTAATGAACGACGGGCACCATTCAAGACAATCGAGTACCGGTTCATTTAAAAAAATCCCACTCTTTAAATCCATTATATCAGATAGTCTCCTATAAGAAGTGATCAATTGAATGATCCTACGTATAATTAACCTTCGATTTTGATTTTGAACTATTAAAAGATTATTTTTCTTCCAATCATTATAATCATTTTTTAACCTTTCATATAAATTCGGCCAAGGATCCGTATCCATAAAAGGTATCCTCAATGAATCATTAGCCTTTTTATATGAAGGTTGAATTAAGATTGTTCGATTAAAGTAAATTTTGTTACCAAAGTCATCAGTAGTATCTTCAAGCTTTTGAACGGTCTTTCGTAGAAACTCTTGTTTTTCATTAAGCAACCATGTTAACCTTTTCTTATCATTTTCCCCTCGCTTTGCAGCGTCTTCAATCTTGCCTTGTGCGATTAATTGCTTTTTAAAGATCCAATCTCCAAGTTCTTCCGGTGGTACCGAATGACATTCTCGTAGAGTCTTTACGAGGTCTGAAGTCAGGTATACGCTCTTTACAACATTTACATTGGTCTGCATCGAACTTAAATGTTCATGGGGTAAAACAAGGGTGATGTCAATCGGTGTTTTAGCCCATTCAGGGATGTTATCAGGAGCTCTGTTTAGTGAAACAAATAGGGAAAGAAAGAAGTTAAGGAAAACGCCTTTTTGGGGGGGATAAAAATAAAGAAAGGAGAGAATTTGATCATTCAATTTTTTTTTTTTTTTTTGCATCAGCTTGCTTACTAACATCGTAATCCTTCGACGAAAACACGGTCGACATAATCTAACACGAAAAGCCCAATATATATTTGGTATTTCCTGATCACTTTTACATATTTGACATTTCCTTTCAACCATGGATAATTTTATAAAGGAAATTTCATCCATTCCTTCAGGTGGATCTAATTTCATGTGCTCCTCGAACTTTGTTCTTGAAGTACGCCAGATACCTTGTGTTATATGTGAAGTTGTAGAGTGCAACCAGTAATGAAATTGTCGACAAACTCCCATCAAGGTGAATAAGTCAACGTATGGTAAGTGACAACAAATTTCAATGAATATGTCAACGGGCATATGAACTAATGTAGGGCATCCGCCCGTAAAAGGTATCGTAGAAGACGATGATGAATGTGGATCATTACATCCTTCCATGTTTTAAATCGTAATAACTTTAATTTGTGAGGGAAAAAAAAAAATTAAAGATATTTTGATAAAAATGTAAAAAAAAAAAAGTTTACAAGGAAGGGAAAAAAAAAAAAATTAGTTTATCAAAATGTTGAAAATTTTTGTTGTAACATTAAATGGTTATATATAATAAAGTGTTGTAATCAGTATGTCACGAAAATTATACTAAATAATGACATGATAAAGATTTTTTTACAAAATGCCGAAAAACGGATACTAATTTCCACGAAAGAGAATTAAAATTGATAGTAAAAAAAAAAATTTTTTTCTTATTATAAAACTAAAAGGATCATAAAGCGAGAACATGTGAACGATTGAATAGAAAAAAAGGGTTCATTTACGTAATCACATGATCAAGTATATTATGTTCCAATTGTTGTAAAAGTAACCCATGAGAATTTGGGGGTTTGGAGGATTATTTCTGAAGTTAAAACACGAAGAATTTTCCGTGTTACAAATAATCAAGCAACCGTTACCAATTTAGGAATCCCAACAAAATGTTATCATTGTTCAGTCAGAATCCTTTTCGCAACACAACAGATTTTCTCACCAAAATTTCAATTTCACGATAATCGTGGATTTGATATCTGTCAAATAATTTTTTTTCGAATAAACGAGAATTTGAACAAGATTTTCTTCTTTTTATGTAGAAGATCTTTGTGTGCTCGTGAGATTTTTTTTTTTCAAAATATTAATTAGACTTTTTTTTTTCTTCTTCCCCCAAAAAGAACGGATTGAATCTCATGGGTTGAACAAATTATGAATTCCTTTTATGTAACTATCCATTCATTGGTTTTATCAAAGCATACCATGATATCAAGGAAAATTGGATGTCCTTTTAGATTCTCTAGCTTCGTTCCGTTCCTTCTGAAGGAGAAACGCGGCACATGTTAATGCATTGTTAACGTTTCACCAACAATCATGTTTACGCGAACTTACATTTGATGTAAACCAGTTTAATTTTTTTTATTGAAATCATTATATATGCAAAAATATTTATATTTAAACGGAAAATATTTAAAATTGATAAGGGGGATGTTGATAATGAAATTTTACTAAATTATGATATTGAGAAGATATGAATGAATGATAAAATACAAATGAAGCACCTCTAATTATTATTAATTATTATTATTCTTATCATTATTATCGGTATTATTATTATTAGTGTTATTATTTCCTCCACAAATTTTATAATCTGGAATTTTTGAAACTATTTATAGGATTATAATTATTTGTTAGGCGGGAAAGGTTAGCTGGTATGAGAAATCACTTCAACCATATGATGATCAACCACCATTGATCTATTTTTTGAATGTTTGATAAGATAGTACTGGAAGAGTTCTGCATTGACCGTATTTGCTTTAACAAAGAAATCAAAGAAATCCCCTATAATAGGTATAAAGCCAACCTTTTTTAAGAAAGTAAAAAGGATGATGATTAATTAATGACATAAAAAACGTGGGATAAAGATAATACAACGAACGCTAAATTCTTTCTTACCCCAACATCTTTTGCAATATTCCAAGTCATCTTACTAAGCATTTCTAAAAGATCTCTATTTTGAAATTGAGAATCTTCCGCAGTTCGTTTAGCCGATTTGATTAACATCAATGATAACCAAACTCCCAAGAAATCTCCTATTACTGGTACTAGCCCTTTTATTAAAGACGAAATAAAGTTAACATTAAAATTTCAAATAAAAAATCGAATTAAGAAAAATGTCTTACTACGCTTACCGAGAATAGGATCTAAACCGAAACCACAACAACAATTTTCATCATACCGATATGCAATTTTTTTAAATGATTCCAAAGCTTTGGTTTCTTTATCCGTTAAACCTACTGGAATCTTCCATCTGTTCACCTTTTCTTTCCCATTCGCTTTAATTAAGTATTTGGGGATGTCAACATCCTCATGTGGTGGGGAAGACATCAAAATACCCATCTTATATATATTGTTTGTGAAATTTTTTTTTTTTTTTTTGATGAAAGGAATTACTTTTTTGACAAAATAATTGAGTTTTTAAGAAGGGATTTGAAAAATCAAAGATGGAATAAAAGCAATAGATTTTATATAAATTTGTTGATGCACCATATGACGCACATGTGATGAATGCAGTTACACATCCAATCTCACAATGCAACTTGATTGTATCTCTGAAACGAGTTTTAATAATCATCACATTGCCAGGCGAATTTCTTCTGGGCTGAACCTTAACGCCAACTAATTTTAGTGTCGGTACCATTCTTAAGGCTAATCCATTTTTTACCAAAATTAAGGGCTCGTGATGTTTTAGATTCGGTGATACATTATTTTGTCAAAGAAAAAAACCGAAAACAATACTTTGGCCAATTATAAAAAAAAATTTTTTTGATTGTAGTTATAAAACAAAGAAATCTTCGAGAAAACGAACTAGGCAACCAATAACACCCGAGTCGAAAGTATCCTAAAACTCAAAAAATCCCTTGCTGTTGTTTCAAACCTTTGAATTATCGAATCCTTTATGTAAAAAACTAATGAAACAAAATTTATTTTTATTTTTTTTAGGAAAAACGAGAATTATTTTCTACCCATTTACATAAAATATTAGGTAACTTGTATTTTGCTTAAAAATCCTTTTTCATGTGTGGCTTCATTTAAAAATAAGAAAGTTTTTTTTTTTTTAACAAACAAAAAATTTTGTCCATTCTGGATTGAAAATATAAACAACCGCCCTCAAAAATAATTCAACATAATGGATAACTCGGTTAAATCCTCGGTTAATTGTTTGTTGGATATAACGGTTTTTTAACAAGCCATAAATGGTAGCAGAATCTTGGCTATGAAAGCCACAAATGAAATGCTTCTTGGCATTTTTTTTTGTTTGATTGACACATTAATTCTATTTTTATTCGAATATGGTAAAGAAAAAAATACTTTTTAATGTGATTGGTTCTTGAGTTGATGTCCGATCCACACCGATACGGGCATCAGAAAAGATTTACAAAAAAAAAAAAAAAAAAAAATTTGTCATTTTTAATGTATGTACAAACAAACCCTTTCGAGGTGATAAGGGAAACCCCAAATAAATAACAAAAGTACATTTCCTTTTAAGAAACGAAAGTTATTTGTCTTCATTGAAAAGGTAAGGTTGCAGATCAATTTTGGTTAATTCTCCTTTTAAAAACACACACCCCCACTTTTCGCACAAAAAAAAAAAAACTTTAAATAATAAATTGATATTCTACACGAATTTCCGTATAGACCAATGCACAAAACGAAAACATACAATAAGTTAATTAGTTATTGTTTGTTTACAAAAAAAAAAAATAGAATAAAAATTATATAATAATAGGTACCATGCGAAATCTTTATTGGTTCACAAGTACATTTCACGTGACATTTATTAACATCGTGTAAATTTGTACAATAAAATAATTCTAGAAAACCCAATTCATTGGCCGATTTATTAAACATGCATTTATTAAAAAAAAAATTTCGTTTTATTTACGTGTCACCAATAAAACACCGCTGAACATTTTCAAGCAGGGCAATATAATTAATAAAATTAAACAAAATCATCGAAAAATGGAATCCTTTTTTTGGCATTTTTTTTTTATTTTTATCCATTGCTTGATTACTCTCACTTTCTTTCCTTTTTCTCTCTCCTTATGACCATTTAAAAATCTGGTCGTCTTTTTTCAAGAGAAATATATATATATACAATTTATTTATTTATTTAATATATACATACACACACATATAAATATAACTTTGGCCAAGGTTTTCTTTTTTTTTTTTTTTTTTTTTACAAAGAGATTTTTTTGTATATTATGCGCTTATCGACAACGCATCGAGCAATCTAAAGAGTTCTTTCTATTAAAGAAATAATAAATAATAATAAAAAAAAAAAAAATGGCCTCAATGATCGCTATTTTTCGACATTCTTTTATATTTAGACAAACCGTTTTCACTATCCCGTTTCGCATATTAATTTCTTTATTTGATCTAATATTTCATGAATTTGATAAATTTCTGGGAATAAAGTTTATAGATGAAACCATCAGTGAGATCACAAACAAACAAATAAATTATAATATTTATAATTCCACACTTGATAATTCTAGTTCTTATGATTTAGACGATATAATTGGAACAAACTATAGGAAACGGAATCCAAGGCAAAAATTTTCTACAAGTAAACCTCCAAATAGTTATTCTGTTGAGTTAGATGACGATGGTCTTGATTTATTTAAAAAGCAATGTCCTACACCTCCTACAAGGGAGATGAATTCATTGGAACATCAATCGGAATCTCAACAAATAATTCCCAACGTTTCACATTCGTGTCTAAATACTGATGCATATAATCTCAATACAATAGAACAAAATAGTTCACCGGTTTCATCATTCATGTCTAATTTTGTAAATGAATTAAAATTATCAACGGATTCTCCTCAAGAGAAGGACGCACAGCCCGCCTCTGTCGAAACGGAACAAAGTTACAACCCGGTGACATCATCAACTTTATCGAGTGTATCAGAAATAATAGGTCACGAGAAGAGTGACGGCACCTCTCGGTTCGCGGAAGCGTTCGAAAGAACTTCTCCACCGGACGCTCAAGACAATGAAATACGACATGGCTCCCCGTCGATTACTGCGCCTGCAACAACCGTTGCGGAAGAAGAATGTGGTGAGCAGATTTTCACAAAAGATCTTATCCCGATTAATGATGACATTACCCCTCCAAATGAAATTTGCGATGCGAAAATATCATTAAGCGAAGTAGCTATCGCTACGGTATCCTCGAAAGTCACCCACTTGAAAAGCGCTGCGCCACGAGTCCCACCATCATTCAACGCGAGCATACCCATCGATATCTTTATCGAAGTATGCTATCACCTTCCCCCGGCATCGCTATTTTCTTTGATGTGCGTTTGCAAACAATTTCGTTTTTGGTTAAATTCCTCTGCTTCATACGTGACGCAAGATATTTGGCGCACTTCAAGGATGAAATATCTTGAAAGGATCAAGTTACGCCCACCAGTTGGAATGGAAGAATCAACATACATCAAGCTAACGATGCTAGAACGAGGATGTCAATTCTGTGGGACAAAGAAAGAAACACCTAAAGTTTATTGGGCCTTTCGGGTAAGATCTTGTCGAGAATGTCTTAGGAAACGAATAATAAGGTATGCAATTCATATCAGAGTTGTATTTTTTTTAAAAAAAAGAAAAAACGATCGGTTTCTAACATCATCTTAATAGTTCCGAAAACCTTCCGAAATGGGCAAAGTTACCTATTGATATCACAATGCTTGTGCCATATGAACGTATTAACGCGTTTGACTCCAATTCGAACGAAAAGATCACCGCATATTGGGGTGAGCATTTAGAACAAGGGCGTCGGGAATGTATGTCAAATCCACTAAAACAACGTAGTGCGTGGATACAAAAGAAGAAACTTTGGGTTGCAGAAATGCTTATAGAGGTTGAGAAACGGGAAAGGATTGATGAATTGTGTTTTAAAAAACAATCCTTGGATGATGAAAGGATATTTAGAACCCTTTTAGACGAATTCCGTCAGATCAAGGATGAAAAGGGACAACAAAAATATCTTGATAAATATATTTTTCAACTACCCGCCTGTCTCGAAGCTCAGGGTACCTGGAAGATTCCATTCATGACACACCCTTGGCCAACCTTTATTGATAGGCTAAAGATGGAATATCCGACGGTTTTGAATAAGATGCATAGGCTTCAACAAATGACCGAAATGATGTTATCGCTTATAACGTCATATGACACTTTAGCATCCGATATTAAAACTTCACCGGAGCAAGGTTATCAAATTTATTTAACCGATCCGGTTATAGATTGTATTCAATGGTGTCCATCATTTATGAACCCTCCGTATGTAAATAATGATGAGAGCATTCCTTGGACCGAAGAATATTTGATCAAGGTCTTGATTCCAAAACTTCGTAAGGAAGCTCGACAATTATTAAAGAATCCAGAGTTCAAGCGACCTGGACCGTTTACGAGTGTAAGGGGATGTATGAATCTCATTGAAAAAGAAGTTGAGGATAAAGAATTCTTCAAGTGTAGATTATGTTGGAAGTCTACAAGAAAACTATACAATTATGATGGAATTTGCAGGCATTTGACAAGCGGCAGACACAGCATCGCTAGAATTGATGACGAACGAATGATTGAAGCTGACAGGGAAAAGGTCAAAAAACTTTTACCTGTTTGGTTTGCTAGGTTTCATTAAAAAAAAATTGTAAAGTTATATATGTATAAAGATAAATGAGATCTTTGTCTACCCCTTTTTTTTTCCTTTTAGTGAGAAAAAAAAAAATTTTTTTTTTCATTTATTGTGATTGTTATTATTATAACTGAACATTAATTAATAATTTTTTTAAAAAAAAAATACGTGAAGGATTAATATAATAAATAATTTAAAAAAAATAAAAAGAAAAAGAAAAAAACAAGTGAATTGTTATTTTTTTTTTTCTTTTTTGTAATTAATAAAAAATGGTGTAGGTGTCATTTGTTTTTATAAATAGGATTTTCTAATTTAACGGTTACACTATAATAAGGAGAGATAGTAAAATCCATACCACTCCACTTTGGTTGATGAGAAATTTCTAAATTCTTCAATTCTTGAATCGACTTTTTTAATTCCTCTTCAATCTCCAACTCAAATTTTTTTAATAACTCATAACCACTAATTCTAAAAGGTTCTAAAATGTTTTCAATTTGTTCAATATAAGGATCAATACCGATAATCCTTTTAACAACATCAATGGCAACGTCATGATTATTATTTTTAAGAGAAGAAGAATAAAAGGAAATATTAATATAACTTCTTAAGTTCCAACTTGTTTCATAAATACAAGCTTTTAAAGATTCTATAAAGTCTTGTAACATTTCCTCGCATTGTTCCGATGTTGGAAAGGAAT